TAATTTAGACTTGTAATAGCTAACTAAATTGGTCCTTTAGTTAACCTCTTGCTGATGGTCATCAAACAAGCTCACACATGAATTTACCTAATTTTTCTTATTAATTCTAGTTTCACGTTCGTTAGTCCTAGACATATGATAAAGTGGTCACATAAACATATGGGGTTGATAATTAAAAGATGTTCATACTATTTAATTATCTTCCTATTAACAGAAAATTAGTTATCATTCACACACAAGGTTCTTTAACAAGCTAAAATTAACAAAATCACCAATATTTAATTAATCCTACCATTAATCAAACCATAATATCAATTTTGTATCCCCAAACAGAAGTTTAAGAGTTTTAGCTCATGATTGAGGTAATTAACAGCAATAAAACGAATTCTAATTGTCTAACCATAATTGAGAAACAATAGATTAAGTAGAATGATGAGAATGTGCCTCAAATCTTCTTCGGAATTGGATTCTAGGTTGTATCTTCGTTCTCTAGGGTTCTTCTGGCTCTTCAATCGCAGCTTGCTTCTCCCCAAAGGTTCCAGAGGTCCTTCAATCGGATTAAGACCCGCTATTTATAATTATCACAAAACAGGGGCTACTCGGCGAGTAGGTCGTGGACTCGCCGAGTACTAATGTGAAATCCGTGTTCGGTAAGGAATCTTGACTTTTCTTTCGGGAACATTCTAATGAACTCGCCGAGTACATGCGTGGACTCGCCGAGTAGGTGTGTAGTTTTCCCTTTTTCTTCATTCTTTGGTCTCTAATTGCTTCTCCTTTTTTCCTTTCTGCTTCCAAGCATGTCTTTTGGACTGAAAACACAATATAAGCATTATTAAGTACCTTTTGTCCATATTATGCATATAATTAGCCAAAAATGAATAGAAATATATGTTAAACATATGATTAATTATGCACATATCACTATTCGACGAGTAGGGAAACCAACTCGTCGAGTAGGCCTTGAAACCAATTAAATTCTTATTTAAACAATACCTGAGAATCGGGGCGTTACAATTATGATTGGAAGATATAACATATTTGATATATTGGTCATTGAGTATGAGATTTAATATGATGATCTGATTATTGAATGAACAGGTATTTGAAAAATTGCTACTGAATAAATGAAATCCTTTGATGAAATGATACATATGTGCAATTATGTGGAATAATACAATTATTTACATTATTTATAGGATTTTGATTATTTGATTATGTTTTAGTATTTGTTATTACTAAGCCGTGAGGCTTAGTTTGTATGGTGATAATCTGTTTGCAGGTAAGATTATTAGATTTACGCCCGACTTGATCTTGTGCTTCTGCCAGCACGATCCTTGTGATAACTTCTTTGTATGCCAGAGTTCCACTGTACACCAAGATTATTTGTAAAACTTTTAAATGATTTTTGATAAATTTGGGTGTACCTTGGTAGAAAAATCTCGGTGTTACACTTAAATCGGATTTCACAAACTCGGTTCCAGCTCCATGACTGAGCTCCATCGAAAGGGCGTCTCGATTAACGATGGTGTACCAGAAAACAACAAGTGCCACCGAAAAGTATGATGGACCAATTATTAATTTATTATTGATAAGGCTATACAGTGTGATACATTTTTTACTAGCGACAAATCTATGTGGACAATGTTACCGGCGGTAAACACCACATCGTGACTAGTATTTTTGTCGGTGATGATTTTCATCTGCATACTATTACCGATCACTTTGCCGACGGTGAAGAGGAATGATGTGCATTATAAGCTTGTACAACTAGCATTACATAAAATACTGTAATACCAGTGTTCCAGATAATTTTCCTTTCTAGCTTCATTTCTTAAAAGTTGGCAAAATTGGTCCTTACGTTGGGCGTACGAGTCAGGTACGTCGGGCATAGGCCTTTGCATGTGATTGCGGAGTCCTCACGTACGTAAGGTGTACGTGTATATATGTTGGGCATATGCAAGCAGGGGACAGACCCTAATTTTTAGGGTGTAGATCATATTTAAAGACATTATGGCCTCTAACCCTTCTTACCTCTCAACCTCCGTATTTCCTAGCCTTCAATTCGAAAACCCTAATTGTGTGTGTGTGTGTGTGTGTGTGTTTTGAAGCCTTAGAAAGTCATTTTGGGTGTTCTTGCTGGTAAAGGAAGACTCTAGAAGTTGTGGCGTTTCACTCAAGCCTTTGGATCCAGCAATCACTCTCCCTTATGCATCTTTTGGAGGTATAAAGCTCCAGCCTTGAGGCATACTCCTTTAGATCTTGTTCAAGCTTAGAATTATACACCTTTTTGTCCCAAATCTTGATCCTTGTGAGTATGGAATACTCCAAGATCTTTAAGTTGTCCTTTCAAACGTTTTAGGGTGTGTTAAGTCATAAAAATGCAAGCTTGGACCTTGGTATTCTTCCATGCAAGAGTATTGGACTCTTAAATGGTTGAATGAGTTAGGGTTTTGATGTTGGGCTCCTTGTAGCCATGCAAATGCATAAAGGTTTCAACTTTATGACCTTAGTCGTTTTATTAAGCCTGGATCTGAAGTTGGACGTGAAGTCTTAATGCATTAAGACCATTTAATGAGAGTTTGGACGTCAGGGTAGTACGCTGGGCGTAATGATTTTGTACACTGGGCGTAAAAGGCTGATGCCGCGTAACCTCCCATTCGTGAATCAAGCAGTACATGGGGCGTAGAAGAGAGTACGCCGGGTATACTCTCAGAAAACCCTTTTGGGCAATTTTTGGGCCTTGGGTTTTTAGGGTTTTGGGCTTTACCTAGTGGAGTCATGAATGGGAAGTGCAAAATGGTCTTTTTGCCTTAGTTAGACATTGGATGAATTAGACTTTCGTTTATGGGTTAATCGCGATTATTAAATAGGGTTATTTTTGGGATATGTTAGTGTGAGGAGCCATGTTAGCAGTAGCCTAAATGTGCGATTTAGTTATCTTCAGTTAGAGGTGAGTCTCCTCACTATATCCAAGGGTCGAAGGCACCAATGTCGGTCCATTATTCTGTTATATAGAATACTAGCTGTTATGTGACTGTTACATATGTGTTTGTATGATCGGGTTGAAATAAACCCCAGGATGGGGCCCACTATTGTATGATCGGGTTGAAATAAACTCCAGAACGGGGCCTACTATTGTATGATCGGGTTGAAATAAACCCCAGGGCGGGGCCCACTATTGTATGATCGGGTTGAAATAAACCCCAGGACGGGGCCCACTATCGTATGATTGGGTTGAAATAAACCCCATGGTTGGTCCCATATTTGTTTATTGGGTTGAAATATACCTTAGGGTTAGGCCCAGTTTATATGTTTGATATGTGGTCTTTTGGGGAAACTCACTAAGCTTTGAGCTTACAGTTTATATTTATGATTTTAGGTACTTCCGGGTACAAAAGGGAAGAGCCCGACGATATGACACAACATCCTCCCCTCACGATTTCCATACTTTTTGGATACTATTACTCTGATGTTTTGGATATTGTACACTGTTATTGACTTTGACCTATTTGATGATTGAAACTATTGATTTTTAAATGAAAATTTGTATCACGGTTTTTGGGTTGTTACAAATACATTACATGGATTTTATTTTTTTTAATTAAAAAAAAGTTGATAGGCAAGGATGTTACACACCACACTCATAGACAAAAAATGGTAAAAATTGCTAAAGCTAACATGACACCTATGTGACATAATTTTTTCGTTGGCAAAAATTGCACCACACCTTTTAGCCTATTGGTTTGGTGGAAATTGATCATAAAACGAAAAATGTAATCGACTCTCATTGGTCTAATCTGGTCTCTCATGTCGATTCGCTTCGTTTTTTTTTAATCGATTTTTCTATGATTATATTTGGGGTTTTTACATTTAAGGTTGTATCTATGATTTTTGCATCAGGGTTTTTGGGTTTGGATTTGAGGTTAAGTTGCAGGTTTAATTTTGGAATTGGACGTGAATAGAAGGTTTGATTTTGGTTTTGGATTTGATGTTCGGATTTGATTTTGGTTTTGGATTTGAGTTGCAAATTGGATTTTGGTTTTGTATTTGAGTTGTTGGGTCGATTTTGAACATTTAGGTAGATTTGTGTTGAGTTTGAGGTGATTTCCTGTGTTACTAGGTGGCCGGAGATGTTGAGTGAAGCTGTTGTCGGGATCTAGGTTCATCCATTTGGAGAAGGAAGACGATATGGGTGAGATAGGCCCAGGAAATTAAAAAAAAAAATAAGAATAATAAAAAAGGAACAAATACCTAAAAGGACAAAAATGTCCACAACTTTTAAAGACATGTAAGACTTGATAGATGTTTTGGATCGACAGTTAACTCGAGGGGTTAAATCTATATTAATTGTAGTTTCGATTTTTGAGTGACCATCCGATAAAAATAATTTGGACTCAATCTATATTTTTGGTAGATAAATTTTGCAATTTACTCTTTATTTATTTATTATTATCTCTTATCTTCCTAATTTTTCCAAATCACATAAAACATTGTTTCTTTTTGTCTTTCCACAATTATTTTGAATAAAATATTTACAATTAATAAAAAATATAATAACCATTAAACTTTGATAACATCAAATTCAAATAAGAATTTATTAAAAATATAAAACATAAATTAACAAAAAAAAATCTACCCGACTATGTTTGAAATATTTTCCACAAGATCCGATTAAAGATTGTGGTGCTTTTCTTTGTCTCGAATTCTAGGAGAATATTTGCAATTAGACTTGAGGATCAACTATCATATCATTCCACCTTTGTAATTTAAAATCATATTGTGTAATATGTTACACATATATATAGATTTCTTAATTTTTCTAGGATGCATTGCCCATTCACGATCCTTTTTGTTAAAGTACTTCTATTTCTTGGTTCGTTTGAACTTGCAGTATCTTGAAGAATAAATGACACAACTTGAGCAATTGTTGTCATAAAATTTGATCAAAGTTTATGACAACATAAGAGCATCCACATTAAACAACAAATCAAGCATTTTACTTATTTCCAATCCCTTACGATGACAAACACCACCGGAAACAAACTCCTCAACAACACCATTAACCTCCACCACACTACACCCCGGAGTTTTCTCATTCCCATCTCCCTAATCCGATTCCGGACCTCTTCCGCCTCCCGTTTCCACCCCGCTTCCACATACATCTTATAACAAACAACACAAACCCCGTAATCACTCGTTCCGATTCCCATCTCCATCATCCTCCGCCATACTCCATTCCCAACCATCACATTCCCATAACTCCTACAAGCACCAAGCAACGCCCCCCACACATTCACATCTCTTCCACCAACACCCCCTAATTTCACCTCAATAAACTCCATTGCTTCCTTCAACATCCCGGCTCTTGCATACAAATCAACCACACAAGCGTAATGCTCAAATTTTCTCTCAACTTTATAAACTTTTTCCATTCGGTCAAACAAGTCAACCCCTTCTTTCACCATTTTCACATGTGCACAACCGGAAAGTATAGCCACAAACGTGGGCCCACTTGGTTGGATCCCGATTGACACCATTTGATCTAAAAGTTTTAAAGAAGTTCTTGCTTCACCATTCATGGCCATTCCAGAAATTATCGCGTTCCATGCTCCTGTATCTTTGAAAGAAATTGTTTCAAAAACTGATAATGCTAAATTTGTACACCCACATTTTGAGTACATGTCAACTAATGATGTGGATAAAATTGGGTTTGAAAGAAGGTGGTGTTTTTTAGCGTATAGATGGATCCATGAACCTTGTGTGAGTGCACCGAGGTTAGCACAGGCTGTGAGAACAGTGACAAGAATGGAGTCGTTTGGTTTTATATTGAGCTTTTGCATCTTTGTAAAACAAGGAAATCACCTCATGGAAGTCGTTAACACGTGAATATGCAGCCATTATTGCACTCCAAGAGATCACTGTTCTCTCAGGCATTTCATCGAACAGCTTTCGTGCATTTACAATGTCTTCGTTTTTACCATACCCATCGATTAAAGCTGTCCATAGAACCACGTCCTTGATGGGAATTTCATCGAATAACATTCTTGCATTACCAATTTCTGAATTTGCAGAATAGAAGTCAACCAACGAGCTACCCACAAACTGGTCGTCTTCAAATCCCAATTTCAGAACATGCCCATGAACTGAACAACCGATCAATTTGGCATTTGGAAAACTCGAACAAGAACAACAAGCCTTGATTAAGGGTGGGAAAGTATAATTATTAGCTACAAGACCGAACCTTAACATATCTATATAACAGAAAAACGCAAAAACTTGATCGTTGTTCTGTAAATAACCTCGGATCATGGTGTTGTACATGAAAGTATTCCGAAATCGAAGGTGTTGAAAGATCAAACGAGCGTAGGAGAAGAAAGAAGCATTGTTGGAGGTCGCTAGGACTGAGAGAAGAGGTCCGATAATAACAGGGTTTTCCGGCAGGTGACATATGATGAGTGTTTTTAGGGTGGCGTTAGAAAAGATTTCAAGGGTTTTCCTGATTTAATAAAATTAAAGCTACGATATAAACTAGTTATCATTAATATTATGTATTTTGGGGTTTGTAACATTTGCATAACATTATCAAAAACCCTTTTCATATCAAATATCTCATTGACGTATAATTAGGAATGTCATATGAAGCAATTTGTGAAGAAACATGTTGCCACATGCATTTGGTACAAGTTTATATAGAGAAATAACTCGTGTGTATGTTTGTGTCCTTAATCATTGGAAACCTGAACTATTCTTTTCCCGACATTATCACCACGAAAGAGTCCAACAAAAGCTGAAGGAACACCTTCTAGACCGAATGATACATCTTCAAGCACATGAATTTTTCCATTGTTGAGGTGATCAATGGTTGTGGAGAAGACTCGGGAAACATGCCCATGTGATCACCAGCTAAGAATCCACGTATTGTGATTCTCTTGTATATAACACTTAACATATCTGGTATTGCACGTTTTCCGTTGTCAGTGTATTCTGAAATGACCCCACACACTGCAATCCTACCATGCAAGTTCATGTTTAATATTGCTGCCTCTAGCATTTCAGCTCCTACGTTATCAAAGTATATGTCGATCCCATCAGGGAAATACCTATAATAAAAAAAATATATCTATCAAGAAATTGACATCTTATTTATCAATAAGTCAACATTTTATTAAATGTTACTACCTCTTGAGAGCTAAATTTAGATCGGTTTCTTCTTTATAGTTGAAGACTTCATCAAAACCAAGCTTTTCATTAAGCAATTTCACCTGAAAAATCAAACTATAAAGGTAAATTATATGGTTTCAAACTATGCTACACTCGTTACCTTTATAAAGAAACAAAAAGTCCAAAATTAAATTAAATTAAATTAAAAAAAAAAAAAAAAACCTTTTTTGGGCTACCAGCACAGCCCACTACATAACACCCAAACTGTTTTGCATATTGGCCCACCAAATTTCCTACAGAACCAGAAGCGGCAGAGACAAAGACTTTTTCACCCTTTTTGGGCTTACAAATTTCAAAGAACCCAGCATAAGCAGTAAGCCCACTAAGCCCTGCATTTCACGAACGTAAAGCCCATTTAAGCTTATATGAAGAAGATAAGTTATAATTCTACTAAAAAAAGACAATGGTTTATTTGTAAAATTCGTACTTAAGCTTAAATTGACAATATCAAATGCAATATATACTTTATAATATAATAAAGTTTATCGACTATAGGTCATAGTCTTTAACTATGTACAAAAGAGCATTTAATCCGAAAATGTACCTTTATAAATAGCTCAAATGTTCTACATTGTCGAAAGGAATATTTTACATTAAATATATAACCATTTTAAGAGGTTTTAACTTTCATATATTTTAATACAGTTTTATGAATTTGACACGTTTTAACAAAAAAAATGTATACCAAAAAGATTGCCTAAAGATGGACTCACCTAAGGCCCCAACATAGTATGACAATGGTAAGCCCATTGCATCCACTTTATTTAAGTAAGGCCCATTATATACACAATACTCTCCCCAGCTTAAAAGCCCCACAACATAGTCATCCTTTTCAAATTCAGGATTCCCTGAAGCTATTACTATCCCCACACCATAAGCATCAATCACCTGAACAACAAATATAATTGTTTGTTTTTTAGAAAAACTGAAAACAGAATCATAAAATCGAGACTGATAAACCATACATGCAAGTTTTTTGAGAAACACTATTGAGTTAAGATCAAACCTTTCCAGGATCAATCATAGTAGCAAAAACTGAAGTAGTTTGAGAATCACTAGCAGTCTTCATTCTGTTGATCTGATATGGGTCGATTGATACATACAAATTCTTGATGATGACATCTTTGGAACCGGGTTTAACCAGTAGAGAGAATGACTCGTTTTTCAGCTCGAAATCAGACTCTTGAGGTGCTCCATCTATGTTAGCCTTTATGGCCACATATTTGTTTGTAACTTCCATTCAAAAAGAGCATTCAATTATTTGATGTTGATACAACTTATGTAAGCTTTTGAATGGGTGAAGTTATATATAATAACCACAAAAGCAAATGATGTGATATCAAACAAACCCTACAAGAGAATGAAGACAAAATGGTACAAAAAGATTCTCTAGGAGTTACATCTATAGTATCGAATTAATAATTAATAAATATTAATATAAGTCAAAAACTTTAAATAATTTGAATATTAAATCCTAAACCCAGTTGTATTATTATTCTTCACTTGAAACCTGTAGAGAAGAGATATTGTTTTATGTTCTTATCAGTTAAATATGTTAAAAAAATGTTTATGAAATATTATTTTCTCCCTAGACTATCATTTTATTTAGATTTAAATATTACTCTTAATTTTTTTTTTAATAAAATCCCATGCTATTTCGAAACCATACAAGTATGCTTAAATTTTGAATAGTTTTTAGTTATATTTATCATAAGTTTGTTTAATGTTCAACTGCTTATAATTAATATGTAATTTTCAAATAAAATGTTAACACACAAATATTAATATCTTAGTTTCAATTAAAATATCATAAATAACGAAAAGATTATTTGTAATTTATTGTAATCCACAAGGATTATATTTAATAATTCAATAGAATACTTCTATTAATGTTGGGAAAAGAACACCAACCATCATCATATGTTATAATATGAAGTTTAAAAAATCTTGAATTAAATATAAAACTTGTTGAATAAAAAATGTACCATTGCCGGCCTAAATCGAATAAATTTTATGCCATGTAACTACCATCCAATTTTTTTTATTTTCTAGTTATGAATTTTTTGTTTCTATTTTTATTTTTATTTTTTTGGTATTTTATGATGTTGAGCCTTTTGGAAACGATATAATGAGAAAACAATTATAAGGCCGACAGCCGATAGAAATATGCGAAACCAATTTGAACAGACAAAGCTTAAAAAGAGAAAACGAATTGGATTTAAATGAAATATGTTCGGTATTATCTGAAGTTAAACAAAATAAATATTCATTTTCCTTGTAATGTATATATTTCCAAAGAAAACCTAAGTAAAGAAAAGTCACATACTTATCCAACTATTTTTCTTTGTGGTTTGTCGATATATCCTTTTCTTACGTCGCACGTTGTCACAAGCATGAACTCAATTTTTTTTTTCAAATTCAAATCAAAATTCTTGAAACAAACACTTTGGTTTCTAAGTTGGTTTTGAAAAGGTATGTATGACTCTTTGGGTGATATTAGTTGGCTTGTTTGTATCAAGTAAGCTTATTTTTCGTTTACGGTTTTAGGTGTTGTTTGTTTTTCTTGAAAAACCTCTTCAAAGCTCTCATTGCTGCGGGGCGTAGCACACGCGCAATACTTTTAGTTCCACAGCAGTTTGTTTTTTCGGAAGTCTTCGAGGCTTAAAACTCTGCCTGTGTGCTTCTTGGGGAAGCACTTGTGTGTTTATCTCTTCCCCACCTCTTCCCACCCCTTCAAACCTAAAAATCTGACCCCAAAAAACCACTATAACCGCTATTTTTTCTTCCAGAAATCGAAACCCAAAAATCGCGCATCGTCTCTGCCCATCGATCTCCACCTCGCCGTCGCCCCACTTGTCGTCGCCCACAGCTCGCCGGCTCCTCCTTCTTCCTTCTTCGTCCGTCAGTCCAACGATTCTTCACAGTTACGTTTTTTTTCCTGTTTCTATCGATTCCTCATGAAATTGGCATTTGGATTCGTTTGAAATCATAAATTGGTGTTGATTTCTTTTATTTCTGCATATATGTTGCTGAATCGGCCATAAATTTCGGCTCCTTCTTCCTTCTTCCCTCCAGAAATTGTTTTCTTGTTTTTTTTTTGTTTGAAGATGATTGTTGTTGAATCAGAAATTTGTTTTTGTTTATTTGTTTTTTTTATGCAAGTTTATTGCTGATTTTTTATTGAAATCAGTTTTTTTTTTTTCTGATTGGATCTTGGATCCAAGTGTGAAATCTATTGAAGTTCTCGCTGATGGAGCTGTCCAGGTTTTTTTGGACAATTTTACCCTTGCTGATATCGATTGAAGTTCTTGCTGAATGGATCTTGGAATGGAATCTGCTATTCAACCTTGTTTGGATAATTTTACCTTGTTGGCATCCCTCAGGTGAATGCTCAATGTTGGAGGTGTGTGGTGGGTGGTGGGGTTGGATGGGGGGTTGAAGAAAAAGAAGAAGAAGTAGCAGGTTTCCTGGTGAAGAAGATGGAAAATTGTGCATTTTTGATATGAAGTTGAGGGTTACTGCCTATACATGGTTACATAGTGTAAGGAAAAAAAACAAGTTGAATGATTAGATGTGTAGTTAGAGTGTTTAGGAGATTTATTTATAAAAACCAACCATTCAAATGTTGTTGGGATTTGCTTAGGATTCAAGGTTATAGAGTTTTGTGAAATTTTAAAAAGTTTTGGAAATTGGAGCAGTCTGGGCCATTTTCGGTTTATTAAATAGTTTATTTTAATTTTTTAATGTCTGCTGAGTCTGCAGATGTGAACAAAACAAAAACAGCTTCTTATTACAGTCTGCAGCCGTTTTGGTCCACCTCTTCTGCCGCAGAGGTTTGCAGAGGTGGTCCGCAGACTTTATGAATTTTTGCTTCAGAAAAACACAAACAGCACCTTAGTGTTGATTAACGGTAAACCAACGTTGGAGTTACAACTAGAAAGGGGGTTTGTTAGAAATCATGGTTAAAAGATTGTTTGGATTCTTTGAAAGTCGTGAAATCACTATTAAATTAAAGTATTTTCGATTGTATAGATCGAAAGTTAGGAAATCTAAAGAAAAATTTCCAAACTTTTAGGAAAAGTTTAATAAAGTCCTATTTTTTTTATTTTTATTTTTTTTTGAACAGAAAAGTCCCCATTATTTTGAGAAAATTATATAATCTGTCATTTGCTGGTCAAATATAAAAAAAAAATTTCGTTAATTTGAGCAAAATATTAAACAATCGAGACTTTTCTGTTAAAAAAAAACTTTTAGGACTTTATTGAAACTTTTCCTAAAAGTTTTGAGACTTTTCTATAGATTTCTCATCGAAAGTTCAATTGGATAAAATTCAATGGCATAGCCATATAAAGGCAAAGGTAGGCCTTGGCTCACCATTACAATTTGAGTCTCATATACTATATAGGCGTGTTGACACAGAACGTTTCGGAGCGTGTTGAGAACTTTTAGCTTCTAACGTTTAACAAAAACACTCCGTTTTGAACAGAAAACCTCGTTCGACACTACAAGCTTCTAGGCGTTAGTTTAAAACAAAACGCTCCAAATCCAATTGCTACTTTATGCAGCGTTTAAACAAAACGCTACAAAACTACAAGCTACCCGCTAATTTTGCCGAACACGCCCTAAGTATATTTTTGTTAAGTAAAAAAATTGCCATTCATATGGCCTAATCCCCAATAAACCTTAAAATTCTATATAATAGAATAGATTTTTACCAATTAAAGATTTGATAGGTGCCACTTTTTGAATTATTGCTCACTATTTATATTTTTATTCATTATTCACCAGCATCATTATTCATCATACATCACGTTTGTAACGCCATGTCCCGAATCGTTACCCATTTGGGTATGGGTGATGTAATGTAGATGATTTGGGCGTTCGGATTTGGTTTTGGAGCCAAGGGGTATTTTGGTAAAATGGCATCGGGCTTCTATGGAAAGTGGGTTTTGTTCGGGAAATTTTTATGGCAAGTATGAGTTGATAAAGTGTAGAAGCTTCTTGTTACCATTTCGTGGATATAAGGATCATCGAAATTGGATTTATAACACAGAAGTTATGGCCTTCGGAGTATTTTAGGGTTTAAGAGGAAACCCTAGTACACGGGGCGTACATAGGGAGTACACAGGGCGTACAAGTGCGAAGGGCAGTATGTTGGGCGTATATTGGTGTACGCTTAGCGAACCCAGAAGGAAGGATCGCAAACCTAGGCCTCGTACGGTGGGCATACGAGGAATACGTTGGGCCCACGAGGGGTGCTTAAACCCTAATTTTTGAGCATGTGTACCCTATTTAAGCATCTTGAGTCTTTAGGGATGGCCTCTTTACCAGCCCCCAAACCTCCTAAAATCCTAAATCGACCCCTTAGCCTCTTGGTGGTGTTCTTAAGCTATTAAGAAGACTTTGGTGCTCATTTTTGCCTTTGTGAAGGAAGTAGAGAAGCTTGAAATTGCCTTTCTTGGTGAAAAGGTTTTGGATCTAGAATCATCATCTTGTGGGAAAGCTTTCTGAGGTATCAAGTTTGCATCTTGGCTTGTAGATGTTTAGATCTCCTTATAGCTTTTTTTATGCTTTTGGTCTTTTTGGGTTGATGGAGAGTTAGTCGTTTAAGGACTTGTTCTTTTAGATTTGAGTTTGTTTTGGTCTCCTTGAGGATAAAGGTTCAAGCTTTTATGAGATTTTTGGTGTCATGCATGCATTAAGTCACTATTAAGTCCCTTTTAAGCTTATAGCTTCATTCAGCCATGGATGAACATAAAGTTAGCAACTTTACGTGATAATCCAGCTTAAGGAAGTCAGATATATGTTTTGGAGCTTTGTCTTAAGGGATTAAGTGTTAAATCAAGTTTTGGGTTGAAGAGGGTAAGTACGTTGGGCGTACAGGCAGGTGCGCTTAGCGTACAAGCCTCCAAGCAAGTACGATACACGTACGTGTTAAGTACGCCCCGCGTACTCGGTCTGTTGGGCCTCGCATGTTCGGGTTTTGTAACATCAGTTAAAATAGGTCAACAACAGTCACATATGATCATGTCAAACAAGTAATGTAATAAACTTACTTTTGTTGGATAAGGTGTCTAAGTCCATAACTATATTTGGTATGTACTTGACCCGAGAGTAGCATGGTCCATTTGGGTTGCACTTCATCGGGACAATTTGAAGGATGGACTTTTGAGAAGAGGATAATTATGATTTATTAATATATTATAAGTTTAATATATTAATATGAAATCATATTATTTAATTAGTATTGATATAGAATTAATTTGGAATTA